ATTATTTATTTATTATTATTATTATTATTATTATTATTATTATTATTATTATTATTATTATTATTATTATTATTATTATTATTATTATTATTATTATTATTAATTATAATATTATAATGATGGCATAAGATATCATCAAACTAAGTGATAAGATACTATCAAGGAAGATAATGCAAAGTATGGTGTATGGTGATAGGAAGAAATGAATCTTATGTTATTCTAATCCTATGTTAAAGCATATGAAATTAACATTGCCAAATGACCTTAGCAATTAAGTTGTTGACCTTTTTAAAAAGTTAACTTCCTTTTTTTGAACACGATTTATATTTAAACAACGATACAAAAATATCTGATATATTGGATAATAATACATTATTTCAAGTTTAAAGGAAAAAATGATTCAGCTTCCTAAGATATTTCAAATATTCGAATCAATCCATCATGCTAACCAGAAAATTCAGTTATGAGTTATTCATGAAATCAGTATTTTCATTATTCATTTTTTTTCAAGAATAAAATACCTCTTTCAGATATGTGAAATCAATCATTAACTCTTCGATAATTTCCTTTGATGGTCGATTCAATTTAGCTGCAACATCGTCCAACCAACGAATCAAATTTGTCCTATAAAATCGTAAGTAAATAAGTTTAATCATAATGTTTGGTTAGTTTTTAGTCTAATCAATGATTGTCTATTTATTTGTTTTCCGGATTATATAATAGATCGTCTACAAGTGGGAAATGATCCATTGATATAATTCATAATAAAGGATAACAGGTTATGGTATTGTTTTAGCATATTATCAATGATTATCACTGAATTAATCAGTTCAATCATTAGCGATATCAAACATAAACCAATGTGTATTAATGTAATAAAACTAAAATAGCAGGAAATTATTTGTGTAGTGCTAATCCGATTATTCCGATCATTGAGTTGAATCAGAAATTCAACCATTTTCTGGACTTGTTTATTGATATGATTGTTTAAGTAATTTAAACAAATTATTATTTTATCAAATTTCTATTGAAAATTTGATGATTTCAACAAAATATATTCACCCATATTTACGTGTCAAGTAATCAGGATCACTTTTTATATGATCCGGTTTCAGAACAACCGATGAAATTAAGCGTAACTTGATTTCTTCTTCTGTTATGATATCATTTATTTTGCGAATTTTTTGCTCTATGAAAGATTGTATTTCGTTTATGTTGTATTGTTCCTGAAAATTTGAAATAAAATTAAACATTTGATGTGGACCTCTATAAAAAATTATTATAAAGTAAAGTAATACCACACTAATTATAGCAATTAATTAATTCTAATGTTACACGAATGCTTTTCAGGGTATTATTTTCATTAATTTGATTTAAATTTAACTTGAAAGATTTTAAAATTTCGATAGAAATTATCGTTTTCCTTCAGTTTTTAAATTTCCTTTTCAATATCCTTGTCATATTTTTACTTTGAATACTTACTTGCCCATGTTCAGTTTGTTATTTTAAATGTTTTGATATTTTAATTTATTGGTAGTAGTATTATTTGATGAATAATTCCAATGTCTAATTAATATTTCTACTTTCAATAATTGTATAAATTTAACTTTCATTGTGAATATTCAAGTACATCAATTCATTCGTGACAATTTAATGTAATAAAATTTTATGGTTAAAAGTTGCGCAAAATTTTTATAACTTCAATGATTAATCTTATATGTATCGTGTAAAAATTTTAATTTTATAAGTTGATACTTTGAAAATTTTTAATGGAAATGAAAATCTGAATTAAAAAAAAATAAGTGTTTCAAAGCTATGATTACAAAAGTTTAAAAGAGAAAAATTAAAACAAATAAACTTACAAGTCTTTGATTTAAAGCACGAATTTTATATGCATCATACCAACGTATGTAAAATGGACGATGAGAATCTTGAAGTTTATTTATTTTTGCTTTCTTTGTCCGTTTACTCCATCTATTTCCGGTAGGCAATAGTGAATGAATTTCATCCGGTTGAAACCATTTCGTATCTATAAGCGTATCCTGAAAGAATAAAAAAAAAAAAAAAATCCTAAATTTATAAACATTTCTGCATTATTACAGATTTATTGAACAAAATATAAGCTAAATATTGAAAAGAATAGCATGTTTAGTTTTTCAATTTTGCAATTTTTATAATTTTAAAATTATTCCTGAAATATTTACAAAGCTGAAAGTCATACAATTTATCGTACTATCAAAATTTAAATTATCAATTTAACAATGATATGCAAAGTGGATTATAAAAATTTTCAATTTTTTGTCTAAAATATGGAAGAAAAAGTTAAAAAAAATAAAAAGAATATACCAAAAGTTATCATAAAACATACAAATAAAATATTTTTCATATTCATGAATTAATGTTATACTGTAATTTACATCTGAAAATTGAATTGCAATCATCTTTCTAAAATTATCCAAAAATTCACTAACTTTTAATTCGATACTGCTTTCTAACGATGAAATATCCGCTTCTGAACTCATTGATCTGATAAGCTTTTTTTTTTTCTTTTTTTTTTGCAAACAAAAAAATTGAATTATTTAACTTGAAAATAGTATGCAAAGCGTATTGTGAAAATTTTTAATTTTTTACCTAAAATATGAAATAATTATCACATGTGTCACATATATGTCATCTACAACTATTTAATGCAAGAAAAAAAACATACCACATTAAATACAGGGTAAATATTTACAATTTCTTAAACACTTGCTAATATCACTCCTTCTCTCAATTACTTAATTAAAAATTGCATAATTAATTAACACAAAAGTGTTTATATAAGTTTTTGAAAATTATTATAACAATCCGTTTCATCTGTAATGTATTTTAAACGTATAAATAACCAAGAAATTGAAATTGTAATTTCAAAAAAAGTTGACAGTGAACAAAAAGTATCACAGTTGTTACTTTTTCCTTTCTCCTATCTTAACTGGCTAAAAAAAAAAAAAATACAAAAATGTCAATTGCATAACTAAGGGATCAAATAAACCATACTAAGGTAGAAAGAATAATATTAATTACTCAATACTAATTATTCATGGATAATTAATATTGTAGTTCTGGTGTAAATTTAATAATTTAATTAGGGAATGAAACGTGATAAATTGGAAATTTTACATCAGACAGAAATTATTTAATCATTTTGACAACATTAAAGTAAACTTTTAATTTATCCGATTGGACTGCATGAAAATGAAATTAGGAATTGAAATAAATACTTGATAAAAATTTATTTGATAACTAATAACTTAATATTGAATAAGAAATATCAGATAATAGTAAGAGAAAAAAAAGAAATGAATGGAAGATTTATCCGATCATGACAATATTAAGCACTGACTATGATAATGAATATTTGATCAGATAAACTGATATAAGTGCGTAAGCAGACGTGCAATTGCAACCGCGACTGCAATTGCAACTGCAAGAAATGCTTGCCATTTTGATTATATTGGTTTCATTTGTATGATTCGATCATATAAAACAAGTGATGAGAGCAATAAAAATCTTAAGGTTTCTAAGGTTTTGATTAAATTCATTTTTCTTTGACCTTTTGACTTTGAGTTTTTTTTTTTTTTATTCCTTACAACTTTGCAATATCGCTAAATTAATTAGTCTAAAGTATTTTACCAAAAGGTATGCAAAAAAAACTTGCTGCAAAAAGTTTAAAATTTCGACTTCAAAATTTATGAAATTCATCCATTTTATCTTTTAATCTTTAAAAATTTTAGTGAAATAATGAATTAAAGAAAATTCTAATCTTTCGATATTTAGAAATTGATGTCATTCTCGAATGTTTTTATTGATGTATCAATTAATAGCTTTATACCATAGCTCTTTTCCTATTTGAATTTAAACTTTGCCACTTATTAGTAACGAAATTCTTTCCAATAATTAAGTAATTAAATTCTTTATAATAATTAGGATTCAGAAAGAATTCTCGAGAAGAAGCGCAAAATTAAAATATAGCACGTTTTTATTTCAAAAAGTTTTAGTCAAATTTTCAAGTGTTTTTTTTTATTGTTATTATAATACATTTAAAAAATTATGTTTCTTAATTTTCTCAAGAAAAGAAAAAAAAAACTCTGTGAAAACAAATAAAAGTTCAAAACAAACA